CACACACACACACACACACACACACACACACACGCATAAAGATGCTGTTGCTCATGTCTCCAGTGGCCCCACCGAGTCTTGGCTCAATTCGTTCTCCCTGTCCGTCTGTCTGCAGCACGTGTTGCAGCATCTTGACTGTGAAATATGAATCCTTTATTCGATAGGTTTTTTCAGGCCCATCAATATCGCCCACATCTGTCTATGTTTATTTTAGTTATTTAATTGCGATAACATACTAGTATTCAATGCTTTCTCTGAATTATATGGTTACCTGATGTACAGAATAAACACATGTTGGTGGATGATATGGTTTATTAATAAGTAACAGAGATGATGGATTCACGTATGCTATTTGTGATCTGAGGCTCAGTTCTTTTGCTTTCCTGTTAGCAAGTCAGATCGATTGCAGTTTTGTTTTTTAGCCGAAATCACAGACGGAGCTTCTGAAAACGGCTTGACTCCCATAATTTGTAAACACAGTAAACAAATTTCAAAAGATTTTTTTTATCTTGTTTGCTGGTGTCTAGTTTTATGGAATATGATGTAATGTGTGTGCTGTTCCCGTTAGAGTTAAAAGCCATGATAAAGCAAGACATGCTGTGGGATGTGATTGACAAGTCACTACCCTATGAGAGTGCAGCATCTTTTGGTTTCTCATTCACATCCACCCTTTGCTTGTCACGCCTGACTTTAAAACACCAAATCTGCCGTGGGGAAAGCACTGAGCTTAAAGTAGCACAGCTCTAACTGAAGTAGCTATTATATGCAGTCTATGGTGAAAAGTGTGATGTTGTAAAATGTAGTAATTTATCAGCTAACTGTATGCAACACAAAAATACAGTTTCTTTCACATCTTGTACCAGTTCAACCAGAGCATAGTTTAACATGCAGAGTTCAAAGGCACAGCAGCAGCAATAATGTCTATTAGTTGAATATAATCTGTGCTTCTAATTATAGCTTTTGATCGCCACTGAAACACATTTACATGTTCATTCACCGAAAGGACAAAGATAACAGATGTCGTCAGTAGCGCCGACAGCAGCCAATCGTTTTTGGATTATAGAGATGATAAATAAAATATTATGTTGGTACTCAGAAGTACAGTAAATGAGGTGGAGATAGCACAGTTGTTATATGTGCCCAAAATTGGAAGCACAATGATTGGTCGTCCCACAGTTAGATTTGGAGAGCTGTATGAAAAATTATGCACTGAGTGAGATGAAAGGAAATCACTAGAATACAAGCTACAGCCTGTCAGCAGCGCCAGTTGCAGTATGAGCGCAGGCTGATTGAACACCCTCGGGCACGACAACACAAGGACATTTTGTGTGTGCAGGTGGGCCTGCAGATGGTCGGCTCGTCCCTGGCGACCAGCTTGTGAAGATCAATAACGTCTCTGTCGATGACCTGACCCCAGAGCAAGCTACTGAGATAATCAGGTCTGCACAGACAGCTGCATTCACAAACACACATGCATATGCCTGATGATTGGTACATACTCTGCAGTTATTTAAAATTAAGCAATGCATACCATGTGTCATCTTAACACCCTCCCTTTCTGTACTCTTTTTTTTTTTCTTTCAGGGAGTGCCCAGATACGTTGACTATGACGGTACTCAGAACAATGCTGGTGAGTCTGCCCTATCTATCAAAGACAAACACACTTCAAAGACATACACAGCACAAACAGACTTACAGTTAAGTGGATAATGGCTGGTCCTCTTCCAGCAGCACTTTAGATGAACTTAATGTATTTCTTGTTTCCTGTTTTCATTAGGTAGTAAAAGCGCACTCGCACAATGTGTCTACTGTGTGCACACGTGAATACATACTGTCCATATACAGTGTTTTTATGTATGGAAGCCTGTCAGCAAACTTATTCAGATACCTCGGGATCAGGCATCCTTGCTTACAACAGTCCTGTCCTCAGGGTCTCACCGCTATATCCCCATTAACTGTGACACCATAGTACACACATTCAAACTGACAGCTCTTCTTCTGCACACACATCCTTCATCAGTCAAACTGTGCCTGTGCGCGGGCACACGTTGTGGACCTCAGCCTGTATTGGTGAAGTTGACGTATGTGTTTGCACTGAGGTGAAATAGATCAGTAAATAAATGGCTGCATCAGCACTTTGGTGATGGAAGCGCCTCTACTGTGTGTTTCATAGCTCACAGCTCCCCCAAGAAATAATTACTGAACTCTAAGGAATTAGCAGCATTTCTTAGAAAATTTTCGTCTCTGTCAAATCAAGAGTTTGAACCACGATAAAAAGAGACTTTTCTGTTATAATTAGACAGTGAGATAAGAGAATTGCTTGGCAGTTTCTTTAAGTGCTTTAATCTGCCAACTGTCACTTGTTGTGCAGCAATGAAGGCAACAATGTGTTTATCTTTGTTACCACACAGCATGATTCATATTGCAGTATAAATTTATGATAAAATAATTGTATATAAAGGCTTCCACTTGTATGGATATTCCAGTTTTAACATCTACTGTATACAGTATATGATTCGATGAGCACAAGATTCACTCAAAGAGCTTGAGAATTTTTTACAAGCAGCATTTTTAAATGTTAAACACAAATCCATAATATATTGCATTAGCACCATGTATTTGTAATGGACAACCCTGCATTTTGGAGGTCATTGCCAAAACCAATATTCTTACTTGAGTCCACATTCTTTGGAGTCATGCATTAGTTTGTTTAGATTTGTAGTTAAAGACCATCACTCGTAGTTAAGTCGTAGCAGTTTAGGATGAAGACATCACTCATTGTGGGGAACCTGTTTACTAGCTTGCTGATTTGAAACAGATTTTTCATTATCGCTGCGATATGATTATCTGTTTCAAGAGCCATGACCCATGCATCGTTCACTGTTTATGAATGCATTTTTCTTTTTAAAAAAAAAAGGTCCAACAAAAAAAAAATAATAAAATAAATTTATTCTCCCCTCTGCACATTAGCTTTTTAAATCCATGCATAAAGCTTCCTCAAACATTACTGGTCAAGATAACTTAGAATGCAAGACTTCAAATGAAAACCAGCTTCTGATACTAAAAAGCATTTCCTGTACATGCAAAGTTTGCTTGTTCATATGCAGATATTTGTTTGATTCTGCACCACTGTAAATAAAGACACCAGAGCCATACTGGTTTATAAACTGTGGTGAAAGCTAAATTAGCAAACATCTTCCAGACAGTTTTTATAGGAGGCATATGATAACTTATGTGTAAGTAAGTAAGTAAAAAATTTTTATATAGCACATTTCACAGATAAAAATTACAAAGTGCTTCACAATAAGATCAGACATACAAGTTAAAATTAATTAAAAGCCTGTTTGTATAAAAATGTCTTCAGCTGCTTTTTAAAGGAGTCAGTAGATCCCCACGTGTTTTAAACCTAGTACGTGGGACCACCAGTAGCCTCTGACCTGAAGACCTAAGTGCTCGGGATGAAGCATGAGGTTTCAACAGGTCAGAGATATACTGGGGAGCTTCACCGTGCAGAGCTCTAAAAGTTACAACTAAAATTTTAAAATGAACCCTAAAATTTACTGGCAACCAATGAAGAGAAGCCAGAACTGGAGTAATGTGTGACCTCTTGTTTGTACCAGTTAAAAGTCTTGCCGCTGCATTCTGTACAGACTGAAGGCGATCCAGAGCTGATTTGTTGAGACAACTAAAAAGACCGTTACAATAATCCAAACGAGAAGAGATAAAAGCATGAATAACCATCTCAAGTTCTGCCTTTGACACCAGTAGTCTGAGTTTAGAAATGTTTCTTAAATGATAAAAACAGTTCCGGACAAGTTGTTTAGAGTGTTTCTCAAGAGACATTGAACTGTCAAATATAACACCCAAGTTTCTGAGACTCGACTGAAATGAAGGGTCTAAAGAACTGATATGCTGCTTAATTTCTGAGAGCGTGTGATCAGGTGCAATAATCAAAGTTTCTGTTTTATCTGCATTTAACTGAAGGAAGTTGTCATTAACCATTGTTTGATTTCTGACAGACAATTATTTAAACAAGACAATTTATAAAACTCAGAAGCTTTGAAAGAACAGTATAACTGAAAGTCATCAGCATAGAGATGATAAGAAATATTATTGTAACGTCTGATAATTTGGCTTTAAGGGAGGATATACATCAAAAAGACAATAGGACCTAAAACAGATCCTTGAGGTACCCCAGAAGACAGAACTGATGTTTCAGACAACACATGATTCATACAGACAGTAAAGGATCTCTCAGATAGATACGACATAAACCATTTTAAAACAACACCAGTAATCCCAAACAAGTCCTTCAGCCGATTTATCATGATGCTGTGATGTGATGACCAATATTACAATCATCACATTCATGAACCTTTTAGACATTTTTTACATATTAGTGTTGTTACATGTTATAAAGAACAACAGTAGCAAACAGTGGTCATTTATAACCTTGAATGTTTTATATATATATATATATATATAGATAGATAGATAGATAGATAGATAGATAGATAGATATAGAGATAGATATATGTGTGTGTCTTATATATGAAACTCAACTCCATGTTATAAGTGCTTGTTTGAACTACAGCTTGGAAAAACAAAAGCCAGAGAGTGTCTTATAATGTCCTTATATGTATTTATACATCTCTGCACTGCACCAAATTCAGCCCTGATTAGATTGTAAGAAAGAAAGAGAACATACGTATCCTGTGAGAAATTGCTTCACAGCTTATTGACTCGTATTTCTCACAGGGCCCAAAGTCATCATTTATCACACCGGAGAAGAGGGCCAAGCTCAGGTCCAACCCTGTGAAAGTCCACTTTGCTGAGGAGGTGGAAGTTAACGGACACACACAGGTGAGTTTGAAAATATACTATGCAGCTATTCGTAGCACTGCCAACTTTAAATCCTCTGGCTGCCTCTGTAGTGTATCATTGTGTCTCTGAGACAGCTTATGTGATTGTGGATAGATGATGTCACATTTGAAGTTTTATAGAAATGTCATGTCATGGTAATAGATCATGCTCAGCTCTCCACATTTACATCAGTGCACAGGAGTCATTAACACCCCATCTAAACCAGCTCTACACGGTCTGGGTGATCAAATCTGATGACAGCTACTTGCATTTACGTCTGTTATAAATAATTCTTCGTGTTATTTCTTTCTGCATTGTGTTCAGGATGCAAATATTATGGACTGATTTAATATAGAGAAGCATCAGTGTACTACAGTCTTGATTATGACTTGCTGAAGCACATTTTACACGACTCAGTTCACTGATTGTATTCAGTCACCTATTTTCCTGAATGGAGTCAAACTGCACAGATAATATTTAAACATGATATATCGTTACACGTTTGTCTTGCTTATAGCCAGGTTGACACTTTCAGTATTTAATTCATTATCTCCATCAAGGAGATTATGGTTTTCATAGCATCTGTCTGTAAACAAGAGAGGTCAAAATGTTGACTGTTAATTCTGATTAAACTTCATTTGGCTGTAGAGCGGGGTCATGTTAACAACTCATTAAAATTTGATCTACATCTACCAAGGCCTTCAAGGTCAGCATCATGATTTATTGGGTGAATATTGACAAAAAGCCTTATAACTTAGAAACTACATTTCTTACAAATGCGATGTGTATTGTCAACATTTAAAAAAACATTGTAACATTTGACCTTTGGCCTCACCTTCAAAGTCAGATAAGGTCAAACTTTCATGTCTTTTGTCTATAAAACTTAAAATTCTACTGCACTTGTTTGCATTGGCATCGTTTAGGTATTCATGCTCACATATGGGGATTTTAAATATCACATTATCACATATCTGCATCTGAATGTCACACCACAGTTTTTATCTGTGATATCACTTTTACATTTCACATCTGCCCTTTTTTCAGGTTGGCTTCAAAATTTGTAGAAATAAAGTATTGTCATCACAAAGAGAATGAGCTGCCCAGAGTGTTGTAGTACAATAATACATAATAACCTCAAGTTATTCATGTCCAGCTATCTACAAATGAATACCTATTATCCATTATCTACTCCAAAATAATGTTTGTATACAAAATACAATGCTATTCCCTAAAAAGTAAATACTGCCCAGAGAGTGAGGGGCCTTGGCGGAGGTTTGCAGTCTCAGAGTGCTTCTTATATTTTCACTGTAACCTGATGTACATTTGGAATATACTGCATATACAAGTGGGCTTAGGCCACGGGCACAACACAAAATAAATCCATATAAGGCAGTACCAGAGTTCTGCATAAGCATCTCTGACCAATACATTGTCCAAAAATAGAAAATAATTTTATCTTTATAATCTTCACTCAGCCTTCCACTGTCAATAACGAGATATACACATGACCAGAATTTACATTAAAATACCAGATTAATGGACCTAAAAGCTCATAGTATTCTGATATATTTTTCAAAGCTTTTGAGACAAAGTCTATTTTTTCAGTTCTGAGACACTTCATGGATAATTTATTCTGACAGGTTTCCTGATTTGATGTGGGGTAGCACAACAGAGATGCCATTTAGTGAGCAGGTTCAGAGTCTGTGGTGTGCACATGCAGGCATGTAGGAGGTTGATTTAATACACAGCAAGTGAACATGGCTCTCATCAATGCTGCATTTAAAAAAATATATCATAATGTGTGTTTTTAAAAAAGGCATTCAAAGCTGTACTTAGATCTCAGTCATGCACACTGTGTCGTTCTCTCAATAAGACTGAATGTAAAGCTCATTTATTTAGAAGAAAAGTACTTTAAGAGATTTTAAGTGCTTGAACCATGAAAATTTCTGACTGCTTACATTTAAGACATAATGTTGGTTTTTAGGATTTTTGAAACTTTCTCAGATTTTTTGCACTAGTTTGCAGAACAGAAGTTTAGTTGATGCCATGTATCACAGTTCAAAATCAAAAGCTTTAATCCAGCCAGCTGTGGGTCATTAACAGTAGATCAGACAGCGAAGCAGACAATTAAAGTGAGCGGCAGGCAAAATCCAGAAACAGTCCTAGGTGTCATTCACTGTGAAAACAAAGAATAGTACAGGGACAATAAGAAACTGTAGGCAGTAGTTGGAAAAGCTCGACTGGTGTGAATATGGCACACTTGCAACAGGAAGTATTGCACCAGGGGTATAAAAGGAAGTTGACTGGCTAATTGGGAACAGTTGTAGCAAATCAAACACAGATAAGAACTAATAAAGGCAGGTAGTAAAATTATGCAAAGAGACCGGAGTTCTATTGAAGAAAGGGATATTAATGGTTAGTGGCCTCTGTGATGAGTTTTCAGTCACCCAAAGGTGGCTCTCTCTTTTTTATTTAGCTCGATCACCATGGTAACTAATGATGAACACATAACTCGGTTAGAGTTCAGATTTTCTTCTTTAAAATCGGCTGTAAGCAGGATCTTTCCTCAGATTCTTTTACTTACAGAATGCCTTAAGTGTCATAAACATGTATTCTGTGCTATAGGAACACATTTTCGACACAACATACAATGCTAACAGCACCACTTGAAGTGGTGTGTCATATTTGTGAAGACCCAAATAAATTTTTCATTTGGAATTTTATTGTCCTGAACAAGAAAATAGTGGAAACCGCAGACAAGCTTTAAAACGTGATTTATGGTTTCTAGATGTTCCTTTGCACTATGACGATGAGTGCTTGTCAGTAAAACCAACATTAGATTCAGCTTTACTGCAAACTCGATGCACTTTGTTCCTTTATAAATCTGCCTGTGGTTATTCAGGGTTCCTACCCTGCAAGCGGATGTGAAATTAGCAGAACGAGGAAAACCACTGAGGCCGGAGAGCCCATTACTAAACACAGAGAAAACACAGATCAATATCCTCCCCATTCTCCGGTCCTAATGTCTGTGATTACAGGACAATAAATATCAGATTAAGGAGAAAAAAGGGTAGAAGGAGATGGTAAAGAGACCAAGAGAGGTGGAGGGGAGGGGGCGGGATGTTTTTATCATCGTTAAAAGGAAGACAAAATATGTAACGGGGGATGGGAAGCTAGCAAGGGAGGGGTTGTCTAAAATTTGAACGCCCTCTGTTTCAACTTCAAAACATGCAGACATCAATGTTGCATTGTATCACAGTGTCAATACAGAAAAACACTTTCTTAAATCATAAGAGAAGAGGGATGTAGCGGGAAAGATGAGTCACCGCGGAGAACGAGCCGGGTAGACAGAAACAGGCCAGAGGATATGATGCGAAGAAAAATGCTCTGTGAGAAGAGCTGAAGATGAAATAACACTGCTCTCTCACTTTATGGTCTGTTATAATGTGCTAAACATATTCAGTATTCTCAGTCTGGATTGCCAGCATTTAAAAATAACAGTGGTTGTGTTCAAGCGACAAACATACGTCAGGAAAATTCAGCAAATCTGTCTCGTGACCAGGACTCCCACTTGATGTGTCCCACATTTTAAAAGGCTCCGTTTTTCCCACTTTCCCCACTGGATGACAGACAAGACGAGCTTAATTCAAAGGCTGTGAAGAAATCAGGGTGACCGGGTGAAGCTGGCGGAAGGCAGTTCCTTGAGTTTTTTGCTTTTATTTTTGTAAAATTGATATATTTTGCTCATAAAACATTGCTGGAGGTCTCATTCTGTTTTGGATGCCAGCGATGTGGCGGTACAGAGAACAGTGCAGTCGTCTCACAGCAAGAAAGTTCTGGAATTAAAACTTTCTGAAGAGTTTCTTCCTAAAAGACAAGCATGTTAGGTGAAAAGGGTTAGGGTTAGATGCTATTGAAACAGCATTGAGTGGTGCATTTTTGGTGGGGTTCAGGATGGGTCTCTGAGGGTACACTATTTTGGTGATAGACTGTGATAGTGCTGTACCACTAATGTAACTTTCCCACCATGAATATATACCTACTGAAACCCAAAGATGATTATCAGACAGATCAGCAGCTAAAGTCAACAGTAATGCAACATAAAATTAAACACATGAGTGTAAGAAGGTTGTTTGTTTTTTTTATGGAGAAGAAGCTCCCAGACTACAGCTCAATGATGGCAAGACAGGAATTACAGATTCAGACATGAACAGCTGCAGGCGCCACAGATCAGCAGTCAATCCTGTTATACTCTGAAGTCTGCCTGCAGGAAGCATGCCTCGTTGGTACATTGTAGTACAGTCTCTCTGCGGACAACCCTGTACCGTCATAAAAAATTAACAGGCACACGGACATTCGCTCCCAAGTGGACCCTAACAGACTCATAGACCCAGAAACTGCAACACACCTTTAAGATTTCCCACATTATTGCACACAGAAGGAGCCACCCTGCTCCCTGTCAGACTTTTACTCCTGAAACCAACTAAATTCAGACTGCTTTTATTTTCTTCACAGGGGAACTCCCTGCTCTTCCTGCCCAATGTACTGAAGGTGTACCTCGAGAACGGGCAGACCAAGGCCTTCAAATTTGAGCCCAGTACCACAGTCAAGGTACTCTGTAGCGATACTGGAGTGTGGCATTATAATGACACACACCTAGCAGCTCTAGCAGAGTTTCAGAGTTGAAGCTGAGGCTCGTGAAGCAGGAAAAAAATCTCAGATTTCCTCCTGAGACAAAAACTAAATCAAAGTTTTAAACTAGACCCTGTAGGAGTGTGTTTCTTCCTGAATGTCAATCAGTCTGACAGCAAGCTCCACATTAAACTGTAACCATATAACGTTGAATTGAATTTACCAGATACAGCTGAGTGATTTACTCACTTCCTCAGCAGTTATTAGTATTAGGCATGCATTTGTTTCCTGGATTTGACAGCTACTCTGAAACTTTCTGTTACCACTCTGACACCTTAACACCTTAACTCAGCTCACCTCAGCAAATGTGTTCCCTGATGTTATAAAATATTATCTCTGAAGCTGTAATTTTCTTTGCACATCAGGACATTGTGATGACACTGAAGGAAAAGCTTTCTCTGAGCCGCATTGAGCATTTCTCGCTAGTGCTGGAGCAGCAGCACAGCATCAGCAAATTGCTGTTGCTACATGATGAGGAGAGGATACAGCAGGTATGCACACACACACACAAATTACATTTAAACAAAAAAAAGTATAAAATGCATTCCAAATAATATAAGCATCCGTGTTTCTGCAGGTGGTCCAGAAGAAAGAGGCCCATGACTACAGGTGTTTATTTCGTGTTTGTTTCATGCCCAAAAACCTTCAGATGCTGCTGCAGCAGGATCCCGCTGCCTTTGAGTACCTCTACCTGCAGGTAGACTGATGAATGTGCACACTGCTGGGCTTGTCAGATCACTACTCTCTTTTATTATCTGTTATAATTATTGTTTTTCTATTTAAGGATATTAATAGTTACTTTATTCATATGAAATGGCTGCTATTAATATCAATTCTGATTAATTGAGTCACTGCAAACTGACCTAAAGCATCAATAGGAAAACAGGATTCTCAACTCTGAATCAAATCAATAGGCAAAGTGTTGTAACACTTCCAAAAGTACACTTATTGCTGCAGTTGGCTCATTTCACCGTGATGCAAATCATCAGACTGAAAGGTCAGCTTGTTTGTAAGTGTGCAGTTTTTCATTAAATCCCACCTGCACCGTGATTCTCTTAAAAGAAGGAAGTTTGTGTTTGTTTTAATACCAAAGCTGACCCTGCTAGTTTGGACGTTTTTCTCCAATTAGCTACAAACTGCTGCAAACAAGACAAATCAGTTGCTACACAATGATTAATTCTGATGTATGTTGTCTGTTTGTGCTAGGGGGTGAACGATGTACTGCAGGAGCGTTTTGCAGTAGAGATGAGGTGTAACACCGCCTTGCGACTTGCTGCACTACACATTATGGAGAGACTAGCAAGCTGTGGACAGTCACCCAAAACCAACCTGAAGATGATCACGTGAGATATAGACACACCTTTATACGTGGACTGTACAGAAAAGATGGCGTAGCTAATGTGGAAGTGCTGTAAACCTGCTTTCTTTGTTTGGTCAGCAATGGCCGACAGTAGTCGCAAGAAGACATGCAGTTGTCTGTGTTAAAACCCTCAGCTGCCTGTGTCTGCGACTGTAGTAACATACTAATGTATTGTTAGAGGGCATGAAGCTGAATTTGTGAAGGTCCACCACTAATAGTTACATGTTACACTACAGCTCATGAGAAATGTTGTGTGCTGTCTATGGTGCTGAAATTATAAGTTATAAGTTTAGTTTGAGTGTAATAAAACTTTATTAACAAAAAATTTGTTTTTTTATCTTCAAATTTTCAATAAAAACATGAATCGCTAATTCATAACGAAGAAAGCTTGGTAACTACCCTTCAAGGACCTGCAGTTCAAAAAAGCACCCTTTCAATAGCCAAACCCATCTGTTCTCTGATTGGATTGTTAAATTTGTGATTGACATGACATTGACCAATCAAATGAAAGGAAGAAAAATAGGGTCAAAATTTGCACTTGTAACTTGAAACTTGAGTGCAGTTTCACACGTATTTTTTGGCACACACAAATCTTTTTTATGCACACACAAATTCTTTTCACACATACAAATCCTGATTTACAAGTGCAAAACTGATTTACAAGTACAAAATATTTATGACCGCAATTTGAGCCCATAGGGACCTCCAGGACAAGCTACTTTCAAAGCTACATGACTGTGACAGCTCATTATATCACAGCGGATTGCGATATAATGAGCGGTATGTATTATTGTAGAGTCTACCTTACAATATAAAGAGCCGACTGTTTTTGTGATTTGGTGCTTTATAAATAAAATTGAATTGAGTGGTAGATACAAAGACCTATACTGCCCTATATTGTACCATAATTATTATTTTTTTAATAATTGCGTGGAATGAGTCTTCAGTTGAATGTTTTTAACAGGCAAAAAATACTTCAATAAGTAAATGTTAAATTTTGGTCTTTTTTCTTTTTTTGCTGATCCGAAAATTGATCCGATCCGTGACTTAAAACCCTGATCCGATACGAACCGTGAGATTTTTGATCCGTTGCACCACTAATATCAAATGCAAAAAATATGTCATGGACATCAGGCACAGGAAGTCTTAATAGCCCATTTTTCAATTTGATGTTTGGAATTGGTTTGATAGTTTAAAGGTACTATTTGTTTGCTCTGACCAGCACATTTACATTAATATGCTTTAAAATACGTTTTCCTTAATAAAGTTTTATTGCGCTCAAATTTAACTGTTCTAATTTCAGGACCATGGAGAGGGCACACAGCTTTCTCATGAGCTGTGCTCTAACACGTTTTTTATTTCGAGCCTACACAAATTCAGCTGCGTGCACGTTGACAGTACGTGAGATGTAGATCACAGATACACACAAGACTTAAAAAACCTTTTTTTTCTAATCAAATCACAATTAACAACCTGAGCCAGCCCTATTAATGCATCGCCTGCAGCTAAAATCATCTCTTAGTTTGGGACCTTGTGGAGCCTCTGAGCCTCTTTTTTGTTTGCAATGGTGATGAATAGTTTGACAGGCAGGAGTGTCTTTGGACTGTGATGTTTGCAGACAACATTGTGATCTGTGGTGAGATTAGTTTAAACAGCTGGCCTCTACCATTTAAAGCAGAAGACAGTGCACAAGAGAGTTGAAGAGGAAAGTGCAGGCAGGTTGGAGTGGGTGGAGACGAGTGTCTCAGATAGCAGCAATAGTGAAAGGTGAAGTTTACAGGATGGTAGTGACACCTGTCATGATTTATGATTTTAAGGTGTTAAGGGTTTCATTGGGTTTGTTCAGAAGGGAGAGTATTAGAAATAAGTACATCAGAGGGACAGCTCATGTTGAGCGATCGGGAGACACATAGATGCAAGGCTGAGATGGTTTGGACATGTGCAGAGGAGAGATAGTGGGATATACAGTATATGTTGAAGAGAAAGAATGGATGTAGTGAAGGACAACATGCAGACGGTTGGTGTGAGGGAAGAAGATGCAATCGAGATGGAGGCAGATCATCTGCTGTGGCGACTCATAAAGCGAGCGGTCCAAAAATGAAGACGACCACAAATCTCTTTTTGCTTAAATGAGTGCCTTTCCCTGTTTAACATGCAGGTTTAACAGGCTAGTTGTTTTGTGTGTGAAAAAGTTTTAATATCCTTTTAAACAAAAACAAACCCTTTCAATCTGCATTTGTGTGTTTCCCTCAGAAAGACTTGGGGCATAGAGAACTTTGTGTCATCCACCTTGCTGAGGAACATGCGAGAAAAGGATCTGAGAAAGGCCATCGGCTACCACATAAAGAAGAGCCAATCCCTGTACGATCCCAAGCAAAAGGGCCTGTCAGTCGATCAGACACGGATCAACTATCTGGAGGAGCTGAGTGAACTCAAATCATTTGGAGGGAAATCTTTTGGTGCCACCATGATGGTAGGATTTGATCTGTATACTTTTGTTCTTGAGATTTGGTTGTATATTTAAATTTGAATCATCTTCTTTCTCTGCACTTTCTCCACCTCCTCTGTGTTGTTCAGCTCCAGGACAGGGAGTCGATGGTGACCCTATTAGTGGGAGCACGGCACGGGGTGAGTCAGATCGTCAACCACAAGCTGAGCATCCTGTCCACCCTCACAGAATTCACCAGCATAACACGCATCGAGCTGCTGCCTGAATCGGAAAAGGTCAGCCTGGTCAAAATATACCTGCAGGACATCAAGGTGAGACCTAAAAGGATACACACCCAAACCTAATATGCAAGAGGAACAGAATACCTCATCTGCAACACTGTAAACACTTTCCTGATGACATTTCCTGTTAGTTTTGTGAGCTATGATCAATGTTAGTCAAAATGTCACCGGATGAGGAAGCCATCTCCCACAGTTTGTCACTCACCCAGCTTGACGTTTAGGATAGCCCTTCATTAAATAACGTCTTTCTCACATTAGCTAGATATTTTATATCAATGTCTATCCACAGTCTATCCATTTTTGTCAGCTCTGGAGGTTTCTGCTTAAGCTGGAAACTAATTAGTATTATTTTTCATCTCTTTATTGGTGCATTTTGTATTTAGCACATGTTGTTTTGATCTGCATGTTTCCCCTTTTCATTAGGTGAACACGAGTAATTGTGCAGATTCTTATCAGTTTTGCAGTTTGGAAACAGTTTTGTTCTGTTTGGATGATTGTTAATTAGCTTTAAAAGCTCTCTTAATAAGCTGCTGACTTCCAGACCTCCTTAACTGCTTAAGCACAATATTAATTAGCATTCATCTTAACACGACCCACCTTTACTGCAGTGTTTTAATGAATTAAGATGAACAATTTCTGTTTTTCATAACCTCTTTATATTATTCTCTGCACCCCCTTGCATACAATATACAAACCTCAGCAGAAACAGTGGTTGAACTTTATGCTAAGTGCCTTTACACTGCTGAATTGTCTTTCCCCACAACCTCTCTTTTTCCATTCTCTTTCATAAAGCCCATTACTTTACTACTGGAGTCAGCTGCGGCTAAGGATATGTCCTGCTTAATAGCAGGGTACTGCCGAGTGTTTGTTGACCCTGACCTCAACGTCTTTCCCTGGATAGATGACTCCAAGAAGCACAGAATCTCTGCTGAGGAAGGTACAAAGACAACAATGCGTTCATCACACCTGTAACAATCAATAAATGTTATCTCGTTTTAATTTGGATTCATGTTCACAGGTTATGTTTCACGGTGTGGCAGTGACTCCGATGAATCCTCAGACTTAGACATGGAACCGCTGGTCAACCTGGTGTCTGACAAGAAGCCCCGCCTTCGAATCAGATCTTCATCAGATCCAGATGGACGGAACAGAAAAGACAGTCGGAGAAACAAAGATGAGAGTGAAAAGGGAGAGAAACCTGGCGAGGATAAAAGGCTAAAAGATGAAAAGGGTTCTGACACTAAAACAGAAAAGTTTCAGCTCGATAAGAATGACGAGAATGAAAGCTCAGAGCACAGGAAGGAGGTGAAGAGAGTGCAGGATTGTGGACAAATAGAGATCCACGTAACGGACAATGATTCGGGGAGACACGCTAGACAGGAAGGGGAGATGGGATGTGACGAGGATGTGCGAGCAGCAGAGGAGGAACCGTCTGTATCAGATTCATGTCATACGGACTCTCATGTCCTCACCAGCGCCTCCAGTGACACTCTCGATGGCCTGGAGGAAGATGACTTGATGTCATGCTCCTCTTCCTCTATCCACCCCAGTGCTGCTTCACAAAGTCACACCAGTGTCCATTCTTCGTTTCACCTTCACCCTTATTCTCATGGGCATGTACAGCCTCACCTGCTTGCCCCACCACCTGCGCACTCCCATCCCCTGATTCACCTCACAACTCCTGACAGAGGAGGAGGAGGGGCCTGCAGGAGATCAGGCGATGGAGCCGATCCCCAGCTCACCTCACCCGTCTCCACTTCTTCTCAGAGCCTTGCTGATGCCCAAAGATCTTCAGGTAACCTCTGCACTGATGACAGCTCCCTGTGTTTCGCGGAGCTCTCCCGCCTCGTGGACTTCCTGCCGAGCCCTCCAGAGGCCAGCGAGGAAGACGACGACGAAGAAGAGTTGAGGAGGAGGAGGAATGCGTTAAAAGAAACAGATGGGGGAAGAGAGGGAGGAAGTGTAAGCAAGGAAGGTGGTTTTAAAGAATATTTGTCATCACCTTCCCCGTCTTCAAACACAGACTTTGTGTTTAACTTTGACCAGAGCGACGCACGCTGCTACTACAACATCTGCTCCAACATCACCCCCGACAGTGCACGCAGCCTTTCTCATAAACAGAGAGAAGAGAGGGAGGAGGGAGAGGAGACTCAAGATGAAGACCTGGAGCCAATACCCATCCTGCACCCGCCCCCTGGCTTTGGAGACAGCAGCTCTGATGAGGAGTTCTTTGACGCCAGGGATCGTTTCACCTCACCTGAAGACCCGACATCAGGGGCTGTGCCAAGAGGTGATTTACTTTTCACTGTGAGGCTGATCTCAAGAATTTTCAAGTCTTGTATACTGATCAGCAATAAAGGTTGTAAATTCTGCTTTGTTGCCATCTAGTGGCTGAAGTGGTTACTCCCTAAAAGAGTTAGAATATTTACTGGATTACTGAAAATGTTACATAATTGCCAGAACATGTTACATAATTGCCACACCTAACAATAATGGTAGATGTGGTCTACTGATCCTGATGACACTCTTATGCAAGAAAAAAACTGCCATTTCCTTTACTGCATCAGTCCAGGTGGGATAGAAGTATAGTCTAACTGCATCTGAGGGCTTTTATGATATGCCTCAAATAAATATTTCCAAAGTCCACTACAGTACTTCATACCGTTATTCTACTAGATTTAAGGGGTTATGTTCATACCGATTACTTTCCAAAGGCAAAGAATTACAGGGGATTATTATTGGAAAAAAGTACCAAAGTGAATATAATCTTCTATAACTGCATGTTTTCTCCACACCCCATTAATATTCGGAAGACACCATCTTATTTATCTTATAATCTTTTGGTGGATGATCCAGCTTTGACTAGCTATAAAAGTTAGATTTCACTCTATTGACTCATCTATTAATCTAATACATAATTTGGACCTATATAAACATGTCAATGGAAGAACTATTTTAAATATAATTCATGAATAATGCTTATGTACTTTTCCTTTACATTGTTTAATGTTTTTGTTCTACATTTGACATGTAATGTTATGTTTTACCTCTACTCCCATGAAGGAAAAAAGCTGAAGCTTAAATTGCTCCAATTTACGGGATTTTTTGTTTTAATTTGATTTGATATAAAAAGCAAGCTTATTTCAGAGATGATGAGCTGATGGGCTACTCAAGGCCCCCTCTACTCTAGTAGAGTACAATAAAAATATGACACTGGAAATGAGCTGAATATATCCCCTTTAAGTAGAGTGTCCATCTACCACCACATTAGCTGCTAACAGCAAACATTGGAGCAAAACTAATACAAAAAATTGCAGACAAATAGTTTAATGGCAACTGCTGTGCAAAACGAAAAACTAACCTTAAAGGAAAAAGTGATGCAAAACCTGTAATTTTCATTGAATGTACATTTATGGCCTATTTTGTATGTCTGTGCACTGCACACAGAAGAATATAAATTTTGTTGTGATATTTGTTCTGCTTTAAACACAAAAGCTGAAATTTTTGTGCTATCTTGCAGACATTTGCACAGAGATGAAGCTGGACTTCCTCAGCACACTGAGCCTCAGTGATATCAGAGTCTCTGTGCCGGACACAGACAAAGTTAGAGAAGCAGAAGATGATAGAAAATGGAGAGAGGAAGAAGGAGGAGGCAGAGAAACTTTGTTCCAGCTCAGGAAAAGATCGAAGAAGCGGCGTTCCTTCATGGAAACCGATTACACGTCCAGGGTGTCGTATCCAGAGCCAGATCCAGAGTCAAAGCAGGCCCTGGCTTCCAAGCGATGTCATAAAAAACATTTGGAAGAAGTTAGCGATGCCCAGATCCTCAGTTCAGATCCTGAACCTTCAGAGCAAACCAAGAATCCTAGCCCCACTGTCTCCTCACTTACTCACTCTGAAGGGGAACCTGCTCAGCTTGAGTCAAAGCCCATTCTGTCAACACTCTGCTCGCGTGCACCAGGTTTTGGTTCTCTTGATCAGCCTAGAGACCCAAAGCCTGCTCCCAAAACCAGGAAACAGGAAATGGAGATGGAACCTGACGCAATGGAGTCCAAATCGGTCACCGATCTGGTGAAATCAGTGTCTCCAACCATTACTGTTGTCCGCTGCCGTGTGGATCCAGACGGAAAGGAGAGTGCCGATCGGAGGGGTGACGGAAAGGAGGAAGGGGAGGGACAGGAGCAGGATAGGGAAGGGAAAGAGGAAGGGAAGCCGGAGTCAGCAGGTTTGACAGGGAATGGACCGTTCACTAGTCATATGTTTTTGCAAGAAATCACTAAACAGAAGATTAAAGAGGAGGAAGAGAAGAAAGAGGGAGTGGGAGCATACTCGTCTAGCTTAAAGAGACCACTTGTGGGTGTGCAGGCGCCACCAGAAATCCACATACTGTCTACATGTTTACCAGACGGGAATAAAAAGGGCAGTAACGGCCTTTTGGTGTCCAGTTTGATTGCACCAGAGATGAAAGATGCAGAGGAATACATGCTTAAAGGCCCCTCATATTCACCACCACCACCCCCACCTTCATCCCCTCTACCCTCAGTACCAGTCCTTCACAAATCCCAGAGTGGCTGTCTAGTGAAGGAGGAAGAGGGCAGCGAGTACATGGAAATCCAAAACAAAATTACAGCTTCAGATTATATGGAACACAATCCCAAGACAAGCAATGACAAAGAACAGGCACACGTAAAAGTCACAAGCGTTAACGATGATGATGCCATCGGGGCTGTGACCATAAGCGATGAAGTTACAGACAGCACCACTTCTGACAATGTTTTTGATGATGATGATGAAGTGAGTAATTCACTGAGTGACAGGAGAGATGACAGGACTAAAGCTACAAAGTGTAGAGCTAAATCAGCAGGTCAAAGCGAGTCACAAATCAAGTCTCGCACAAGAATTCATTCTGATTATACTCGTGCTATAAACTCAATTACAGCAAAGCTCGGAGCTGCAACAAGCGCCACGTCTCCTACTTTTAATTCAGGTGTTGGATTGAAAAGCGAGAGCACATTTCTCAGTGCTTTAAATCAAGCCGTGGATAAACCCAGAAGTGAAACCCAAAGTGCTGAAGATAAAGAAAGTTTAGTTAGTTCTAAGTTAGAAAAAACTAGCATGGCTACAATCACCGATCTCGCTAAACAACCTACTTCTCCGACTCATTTCCTCTTCCAAACCTGTTCCCCTGCCATCATGGGCCGATTATCTGCATCAACGCTTAGGGGGAAGATTCAACAGCTGCCTCTTTATTTATCACGATCTCAAGAGTCTCTCAGTCAACCCGGGATTGGGAACGTGGCCCAGAGTCCTGCTGAGGACAACACCAAGGAAGAAGCAGAGGTCACCATTAAAGTAACAGACGTTAATGATGTCAAACAAAATGCTGACTTAGAAGTTGGCAACACTGCGGAGTCGGTAGAGTCAGATGATTCGGATACAACGGTCACAGGATCAGAGGTGGACGGGGAGTTTTTTGTAGAGCTAACATCAGCAAAGAGTTTTAATTCAGGGACAGAGGTGAAGGAGGAGGTCAGCTCTGACCTGCCTGTTCAGACTGAGCCTAAGCCCCAACATCGAAATTTGTTGTACTCTGGATCTGATAAGGACACACCAGGACCAATAACAGAGCCCCCAGCCTCCATAGTGAGCCAACTCCAAAGAGATGCCGCAGGTTTAAAAATGGACACTCCTGGTCCCATAAAAGACTCTCCAGAACCAAACTCCAAAGTCACAAGTCCCGATGCAGACGTACCAGGTTATAAAATAACCAATCGATCACCTTCCATCCCTCCTGCAATCGTGGTGACCACAGAGAATCTAAATGGGCCCAGGCTTCCTTTTCAGCCACAGAAAATAAGAAGGACAAGTAGCGACAGGCCTTTAATGGATCTTTGTAGACCTTCAGAGAAAGTTTCAGGCTCACCAAAAACACCTCCTTCAGGCTGCAGAGTATTCACTATCTGTGAGGATCCAACAGAGACAAAGGCCCAGGCCGAGGTGGTGTCTGCTCCACCTCTGAAGTCAGAGTTTGGGTGTGGTTCTGTGCTATCTTCTGGATGCGAGTCGATCGTAGAGGGGGTGCAGGTGCCACTGGATGCTTGTGGTTGCCCAGCTGTTTACACAAACTGCTTCGGCAGCGAGGACAGCTTCGATGATGAGCTGACGGTCTACGAGTTCTCCTGCCGCACACAGAGCAGCGGAGTAACGCAGACTTCTGGGGCAGGTCTTCCTCTAATGAGCTCTTCCCCTGTTCCCTCCTTTCTTTCCCCTACGTCCTCCCATTCCCCCTCTTTTCCTCGTTCCATTGTTTTCTCCTCTTCTACCTCTGAGCTCAGCCCTCTCCTCTCGCCTCTCTCCGACACCTCTGACCCTTTCACTTCTCAAACGCACAAGGACACCATGAGTCGGCTGGGTCAGCAGCGCTACCCAGAACCTCCCACGGGTTTCCAAGTACTCCGCTTAGATGTAGACCAGCTTCTTTCCATTCTAGAAAGTAGCAATGCTGACCGATCTGTAGGAGGACACAGAGCTCGTCACCCAAGAGAAACGTGCCCTGCTCACTTTACAGAGAACAAAAGGGTGCTCCAGATGGAAGCACGGCGGCTGATGTCAGGCTGCCAAAAGGTGGTGGGGATCGGACAGAGCCCAGAGGAGATGCTTCACTCTCTGGCCAACAGTTTCCGGACCCTGGTGGAGCTGGCAGGCGTGTGCCTCTGGTTTTCTGGGTGCGACAGGTGCGACCGGAGGAACGCAGAGGCCGTCGCAGGTCTGGCAGATGTGGCCCGCTCATTCAGGGACTTCTGCCTGGCAGCGGAGCGTGCCAGCAGCAAACGCAGCTGCCAGGACCTGAGCACCAAGCTGCTAGCCAAACAGTGCACAGCACTCACCGCCTCAGTCTTCTGCCTCACTCAGCTGTTCCGCACCCTAACTGCACTCTGAGGAGACCACAGCCCTTCGAGAAATTACCTTCAGCCTTGCGACCTGTGGCGTTCAACTCCACATCCGTGAGGTCACCAGTGAGCTCACAGCTGCTGTAGGTGTGGATAAGTGTGACCTGGGACTCTTGGCTTGCGGTGCTGTTCCTAGGAAGCTCAAAAAACTGGGGCCGGTTAACAGTTTTTTTTCTGGTTATCAAGGCAGAGATCGCCGAGGCGCATGTGGTGACTGACTAGCTGTGCACGTACTGTACCAAACAAACCAGATGGATAGCCAAGAGCCAGACTGTAGAGTGCTGCAAGCTTGCATTCCAATATCAAAGCTGATGTACTTGAATGTATTCTATGTTATTATCTGTTTGTTTATTTATTGATTGGTTTATTTAATGAGATACTGCAGTTTTGAAGAAAGGAATGTCAAGGAATAAATATGGAAATGTTTACAGTCATAGACAGAGGAGCAGTGGTGTGTCAAAGTAGTGGGCCTTTTTCACACATGCACAAGCACACATGTAATCGATTCAGAGTAACTCTGACTCATCCATTCATACACTGGCCTTTTGTTCAACAGACTGACCATTTTAACTCTTCTGATCATCTGACTGCAGTTTACGGATTCTTATATACTGTATCTTAATAGGACGTCAGTGAAGACTTTTTCTGAATGTTAATGTTTACAAAACCAAAAACTAGTGTGGGACATGATTTGATGATTTCAAGCCTGAAGCCATTTGCTGTTTTATAAACCTAGTAGTGGAATGCTCATGTATGCGCGTTGCAGGATTTTATGAAACGGCACATTGAGTTTTTTGTCCTTTTACACCAACATTTGATAGGATCTGTGGAAACGTCAAAGATTCTCAACATTTTCTTTCATTTATTTTCTCTTTGACTGAAACCTTCCAGTGCATGGTGACGTTACCATTACAGCTCCTTGCATTTATTTCCATATATTAATTTATTTTTGTATATTCCACAACAGTCCGCAGGCTACAGAAGATACTTATCAATAGGTATTTATGGTGTGTGACAGTTCTTGAGTTTCTGATTGCTTTCAAGATTATAAAAACCATCACACCTCTGCTTGAGTTCTGAGGATGAAGAAAAACGACTGTCCCTTATACTAAGTGCATTATTATAGATTTCCCAGTATGACTACAAGTACTACTTGACCAGTGACATAACTTGGCCACAGAATGCAGTATTGTTAGCTTTTTCAGCCTTTGACACATTATGTAGGCCGGTCAGACCCAGTGATTGGTTCACAGCCTCTTCTTAGTTTTCTTTAAAATTTGACACGAAAATTATGTAAAACGCTGATTTGTGGATAAGCTGCTGTATGGCAGCATTTTCACTGGGAATGTTTAACAGTTAAAAGGCTCGACACACAAGACCTGCATGTTCACTGCAGAAATAACCATCAAAACTCGTTTCACCACTTCAGTTCAGGGGATACAGTAAACTGCAAACGGTGTTTCTTTTTATGATAGCAGCCAAAACGCTTTTATTCACATTACTGTTTTGTTTCATTAGGTTCCAATAGGATATTTTCCTGTATTATTTTTTCCAGTTTGCAGAGAAGAATGGGTTTAGTTTTACCATTATCTCCGTGTGGACGTTTCCCTAAAAGTAATGATGGAAAACCTTTTTTTTTTAAGTCCTCTGTGCTCACGAAGCATGCTGTTATAATCCATAAAATGCATTGTTATCTCTTCAGGGATTTTATCTGTGAATGACGGATAGATGAAGTCTGTGCTTGCTTTGTAATGCTCAATTCCCACCATTAAAAACTATGTTATGATCTTTTCATGATTCCTTTTATTGTTCATCCAATATCATCTTTGCTGAGTCAGACAGACAATGCAACAGGGGTGCAAACTCTGACAAGGCAAGGGTGTCCAGATCAGCTTTCTCTCTCGTCCTCCTCAATGCAATATTAGAAGGATACCTTTATGATACTAAATATTAGTAATAAGCACTGGCAGCTCTTGTGGTAAGAAAACCAACTTTTGAAGATGAAAAAAGTGGACTCCCCCCTCCTGTGGGTCACAGTGGTTTGGTCTACTCCCTATATCCTTAATCAAAAAGGTGACGTTAGAACAAGGGACAGTATTTACATTCACCGCTCAACAGATTAAAACGGTTATAACTATTCTGCTTTTTTTTTCTCGGCTGCATTGCTTCAAAGTTGAATCTTATATATTAGAGTGTGACCATATTGTTAAGATGCAGCTGCTTAATTCATGTTTCTATATCAGGAAAGAGGAACAGCTGAACATAATCAACACAAACAAAGATAATAAAGAAGAGGGAAAAACAAAGTTGAACTAAACTGGGAAAATAATAAAATTAGGGAAAAATCAATCGTCATAGTTCAGTGTGCACATATGAAAGAGACTGGAGATGCTGTGGGATCTGTCACATGTGCTCAGAGTGAACCTGCTCTCATCTGTGACGACAACAAGGCGCCAGTGGCAGTCCTGCCAGTTCTGATGTTCTCTGGCGAATGTCAGTTGATCTGCACCGTGCTGGGCTGTGAGTAAATACTGGGCCTGCTGCTGGACTGATGCCCTCGACACCCATGTGATGGCTTATCTCTGACGCTGTGCTGGCTGCTGGGCTAGCTGAATACACCATCTCAAGCTACAAAGACACTTAAAAAAAAAGCAAATCTGAAAAAAAGACTTTAATTTTTACCACAGCAGGTAAAAATGGATCCACAGTGGTCTGACTGACATCACTGAAGTTTAACTGACTTTGTGTTATAGGATACTGTGATGATTACATGTTGTCCTAATCTCTTTTTTTAAACTGGTGTACAATATAATTGAAAGGCAAAAGACATAATAAAATCATGTGACTAAAAATCTAAAGGTTTTCCAAAAGGAAGTACTGAGAGATTTCACCCTGCAGACGCTTAATTCTGTCATTTCGGTTTTCTCTGTCACATCACATTTTTCAGGCTTTGCGGTCAGCAGCGACACAGCTGGTGGCATTAAATAGTTTTAGCACTAGAGGGCGGCAGTGCCACCTGATACTGTGTCAGCGCCTCAGGCACGAAGGCATGAGCAGAAACTAAACAAGCTGCTGCGTTTCTTGAGACTTCCCTGAGATTTTTTAAACCCAAATAAACAGAAGTTTAACAATTCTACAAACCTGCTGATAGAGATCATGTGACATGATCGAAAAGACCACATCTACTGCTGTAGTCACCTTAGTCATCAGATCATATGTTGCCTTAACCAGGGGCGATTTTAGCCTATTTTGGGGGTGCTTCAGCAGCGCCCTTGCTGCCAGAGCGATGGTGGCTGAGCGGAGGTGGAAGTGCCTGGCTTAAAACAGGACATATTAACTGCATTTAACCTTCAGTTAGACAGATTTGCCAACCTCAAGGAGATACGGTGTCTCCATTTTTCTAATCTTTTAATAATATTTTGTACATTTCGAGGACTCTTCTATTTTTGGAGTGTATTTTTATGTATCTGTATTATATTATACATACACTTTAAAAGTGAATCTCTGTCCAAAAAATGCACTCAGTTTACTTTTTACTCACTATGAGCATCATTCATTATTCTCCCGCAGTAATTAAAGTTAGGATATGTATTTTTTTTTTTTTAATTCCAATACATTTTTATTTTGCTGTAGTAGTCTTTAGCAGCATTTAAATAACCTTTATCAGATTTGATGGTTTTGTTACAGACTTTTCAAAAAAGTATTTTGCTTTTCTTTCACAAATGTGGGGATTAAATTGTGTTAAAATGTACAAAACAGTGATGTCATGTTTTGTGACGAGGACCCAGGCACAGAGAGACTTGATGAATTTAAGAATCTTATGATTTAATAAAGAAATTTGCAGACTTGCACAGAGAGGGTAAAATTATGATGACTGATAATGGAGATGAAGACAACAGACGATGACAGGGAGGAACAGGGGTTTAAATGCACCAAGGAGACAGTCAGAGGGAACTCGGGACAACTGGAGACATTTAAGGATGCAGGGACTGACAGAGACAGGGAAGAAGTCTCATCGTGACGAGTAAAGTTTACCTTGCCTGGATGGGCAGCTCTCTGGGTGCTCAGCACCCCCAAAGCTCTGATCCTAGAATTGCCCCTGGTCTTAACCCTATTTATCACAATGACAAAAAAAATAACCAAACACTACTTAATTTATTGATTTGATTTTTGGCAAGCTAAGCTGCTTTTTGTGCACTCAGTCATGTTGCCAGTTAACTTGTTTAGTATCACTTACTTTTCCAGCGTTTTGCGTGCCATCCCAACTTTTCGGGGGGACTTATTCTTGTCTCAAACATGTTGTCAATTCCAAAATGAGCCAATATATATCATGAAATGGTAAAACATCTCAGTTTAAACAATTTTCAAACAGTTTTCTGTGAATAAAATATGAATAAAGTGAAATATTGTTTATATTTTACACAGAGTTCCAGCGTCTTTGGAACTGGGCTTTGGTCTGGATCCTTAATACAGAGGAAACTTAACTTCGAACAGAGTTTTGGATGATGTTTGGTTGCTCCTACCATGAAGAACAAATAATGTATGTTGCTCATCCTGTACCGTTCAACTTATATCTGTCTTACTGCAGACTACCTTTATGTACCAGCTGCAAGAGCAGTGTCTTTTGAAACCATTTGCTAAATGGTAAATGGCCTGTGTTTGTATAGCGCTTTACTTAGTATCTAAGGACCCCAAAGCGCTTACTGTCTGCTAATGCATAGCCTCTGATGTGAAATCCAATAATAGCCCATCTCTGCTGATGTTTATAGTGATATGTTTGACACTTAAAATTCTGTGCTATATAAGCAACAATGAAAACGTGATTATGTATTTCTTTAAGTATTTTAAACAAAATTATCTCATTTGAATCTTTGCTGTGGCACAGCATAGAGAAGTAAACGTGCAGGGTGCAACACACATACAGGGTTCTTTCTGCATTACATCAAAAGGAAGCCAAGAGGACATTGATGGGTGTGTGTGTGTGTGTGTGTGTGTGTGTGTGTGTGTGTGTGTGTGTGTGTGTGTGTGAGAGAGAGAGAGAGAGAGAGAGAGCTGAGATCTTTAGTCAGCAGGCTGTTAAAATGACATTCACACACTTTTTCCATCAGCTTTGATACAATTGTTTTCATAGTATTCCGATTACAATCCTTCATACGTCAATCAGCAGTTTCCCAGTTTGTTTGTTGTTGTTGTTTGTTTGTTTTTTGTCTCCATACATGTCTGCAGATATCTCCATAAAAATAGAACAGCTGTCTTTACAGTATGACAAGCCTTTTTTTTTTTTACATTCTTCAGGACCATATTCGGCATTGGTCTCGTGATTCTGCTCGTGAGCGTGACGTGGCTGCAATGAAAGCAGAGGAAGACGATGTGGAATAATCTCACAAAAAGCCTGCCCGTATTTTTTTTTAAAATAAACTCCAATACATAAACCACACACTGTTGTTGTGAAGACGTTTTTGTTTTAGTTTTGTTTGTTTGTTTTTGTAATAAAACACACTCATGTTTATCGTCAACAGCGTTTCCTAGACGTTTACGTCACATATCGCGTCACGTTTTAGTGGAAGCACGAGGGGATTTCAGTGGATTTCTCCGCGTGGATCAAGCTGTGGGATATCTGCTGTGCCTGACATGTGTCCGTGACTGCAGGGGACGAGGCCGTAAATGGTGTCTGGGATCCAAGTCGGTTTAGAGCGTTTCGTTTCCTGGTCATGGAAGGTCCAGAACCGGTTACCGATTATTTAAGGGAAGTGAACGGACACTTGAATGAACTTCAGAGCTCCGGTGAAGGATGCTCTCCTTGCCGTAAGAGCACCCGTTGTTTGATCCCGCCGGTGTACTGGAATGAGCTGCTACAGCTTGTTAAACTGGCAGGACCGGTGGTAAGACGCATTATTGAGGCACTGAAAAATTATTTATTCCCAACAGTAAAGATGAAATTTTAAAAACCTGCTTCATTTTAAGCTAGTTCTGACCTGAGTGCAACTCCTGTAACAGTCTCGCAAATAAGACCTTTCCAATCTGGTTATGAAATAAAAAGTCAACACTCGGACATAAAGTTTTTTTTTTTTTTTTTTTTTGCTTACTGTATGTTAAATCTTTTATAGCCTTCTGACATTCAGGCCTGAGTTACAACATGCTGCATACTGTTTAATGCTTTGATTCCACATAGCTGTATTAAAAATCAGCATTATAACTAGACTGTCACACATTTTACTAATTGAATGTGTTAAAATCTGTTTATCAGAAAGTGGCAGGATCCTGCACGACAGAAGATAAAACACTAAAAATAGAAAATTTAACTAACAAAATAATTTAAATTAAGTTAAGTATCTCAATAAGAGACAAAGTGATGAAAATTATAAAATTCAAAAAGGTGTATATATAAAAAAAATACACATGGCTGCTTATTTCCCCTTAAATTATGCCACATTTCTGGGTGGTGCCCATCAAAAACTTAACAGCTTATTCTGCTATTGACTCGTGTTTTGAGTTTCTGGTACTCTAGATGCTGACAATCGGGTGCCTGATTGAAGCCTGATTAGCAGCAGCTGTGAGGGTGGACAGTTGGTGTCTGCTCCAAGCCGGCCATGTTTGACTGATCTGGATAGGACCTGTGCCTTGAAGGGCAACTTCAAGCTGGTGGTCTGCAGAATCAGGTTGCAGAATTATTTAGAGTGAGCCCTAGTACCATCTCCAATATAACGGGGAATGGTATAAGAACGGTCACAGCGAAGCATTTCTTTGCTTTTTATGCAGTTTATTTATTGTAATGGTTTACACATTACAGGCTAAAAGCCTAACAGGCTAAAGAGACACAAATCTGCCCTCTTTGGTGACCTGTTGTGAACAAATTAGGAAAGTAAAAAAAAAAAAAAAAAATTAAACATCAGTCTGAAAATTGATAGTTTTTCAAGTTTCAGGCCAGCAGCATCAGCATGTTATTTTTCATATGTAAAAATGTATAACACTGTTTTAAAACACACACGTGGTCATTTAACTAACCATAAACAAACACATTTGTACAGTCATGCTTGCATACTTTATTGAAGCACAGAAAGAAAATTTCACGTCACAATATTTTAACAGTTCTAAATTAAATTCTTGGCTCAAATAATCTTGGTTTGTCCTTACGTCGGTATTAAATGATGAATTTGACTTCTGGTGCCTTCCTAGAAGCCTGATCTGTGCGTTTAAAAATATATGATGTTAAAAAAGACTGCAAGAAGTTTAGAAGCGAGTATATCATGAGGTATTTCTGACTAATGAAAATTCTAATGAAACAGTTCTTCTTTATTTATTTATGATCTGCTGGATAATAATGCTGCGTTTGATTTTGTTTTCCCAGCTCATTTCTCAGCTGATGGTCTACATGATCAGTACAGTCAGTATGGTGTTCTGTGGTCACATGGGGAGAACTGAGCTTGCAGGAGTGTCACTAGCAGCTGCGGTAAGGAGACACACTTGAAGCGTACGTCAGCTCTTTTCTGTCGCTGCCTTCTGTAAGTCTTCATTTGGATTCTGAACACATGCTTTTTTAAATGAATGTATCTATTTATTTGCAGGTGGTTAACGTCAGTGGTATTTCTGTTGGCACTGGTTTATCAGCAACTTGTGATACCCTGATATCTCAGGTTGGGGCCTATGTTTTTTAAACAACTTAACAAGGAGATTGTGGTATCAAGTTTGTTTTCCTGAACTGTTACTTTGTCATGTGATCAGTAAGTCTTTGTCTGAATGTTTCATGCAGACGTATGGGAGCGGTAACTTGAAGCGAGTCGGTGTGATTCTCCAGAGGGGAGTTCTGATTCTGCTGCTGGCCTGTTTCCCCTGCTGGGCCGTCCTCATCAACACTGAGCCCCTCTTACTCGCAGTCGAACAGAGTCCGGAGGTCGCCAGGTAAGTTCAACAGGAACAGCTAGAGCAGAATTAGACAAATTCATAATTATCATCTGTAAATGCACAATATATACTTTAAGTCAAAATCTGCACTACAGTAGAAGTAAAGCAGATGTGGTAGATCAAAAGATTTGCAACATTAATGTGCAGCTGACAAATCTGCAGCAACTCTGCAGGTCTTGCATGTCAAAATGTCTGAGAAATGTTTCAAGCACCTTTTTGAATTTAGGCCATAAAGAATCAAATCAGTTTTGTAGGCAAAGAGCACTTGTAATCACACCTGCATTGTAGATATGTAGTTTTTTCACACATTGTGTTTGTCTCTCTGGCCTGAAGTCTCGCCCAGATGTATGTGAAAATCTTCATGCCTGCTCTCCCGGTGAGTTTGATGCATTCAGTTTTCCCTCATGATCCTGTGTGTGAACGCACAAGCTAATGGTGGAAGCTATCAGTAAAATCAGAGAATGTCTAAAAGGGAGAACACCCACTCTGAGCACTTCCTGTTTCGTAAGGGACACTTGCGAAATCATCCAAAATGAACCGGGCCTTAGGGAGGTGAACCACAAAAATGGAACTCTATTTTTTTAAATGAGCTGTCTCAACGATCCACACAAGATTTGCCTTACTGTTGAACCCATGACATACATGAAACAAACGTAAAATAAAATATGTCAACAATATTAGTCAAACAGAACCTAAGTTGCAGTTTACTGATCTTATATCACCTCCTTGATTGTATGTATCAGTTTTAAAATTTTAATAGCCATCCAATTAAAGTTTTTAAACACATTACAAAGTAACAATATACAAAGTTCTTAGAAACAATAGTTACAATCGGCAATCATACGAGAATCAACAGATGTGTTTAAAGACAAAAAAATGTTCAAACTTTTTGTCTGTTTTCTATCTCCAGGCTGCTTTTATGTACCAACTGCTTGGAAAGTATCTACAAAATCAGGTCCAGTATCCTAACATAAGACATGTATGACATTCATGACATGTAACAAAGTTAAGTTTAAATGGAAAACGTTTTGCTCTTCGTTACAGGGAATTATGTGGCCTCAGGTTATAACTGGAGCAATTGGAAATGTCTTCAATGTTGTCATCAACTACGTCTTCCTCTATCCCCTGGAGCTGGGTGTTGCGTGAGTTTTTTTTTTTGTTTGTTTGTTTGTTTTTTGTTTTAATCACTTTTGAATGATAAGTGATTAGAAGGGTGCAGATATGTGTCTTTAAGCGTTTCACGGGAATGGTGTGTTAAAGCTTTAAAACAAAAACAAAAAAACAATTATTTAGTGATTTAGATTTTGAACCTGAGAGTCCATCACATAGTTCCAGTGGCACATCTGGACATTTCTTAGATTAGCAAAGACAGTGAAGTATAACTGTGCTCAAAACTGTAAACCTATTGATTCTGATAGATCCCTGACTTTTACTCAGGTATACTTACAGTATAGAATCCTTCCAGTTGATCTAATCTGGCAAAACCATAAAATCATTAAAAAAAATGTGCAGGAGAAGAAAAAACTCAAAACAATTATGAAATATTATTTTAAGACTGTCTAATTTAACTGCTTTTGTGGACGCTTTGTACATGTTTTAATCTTGATATTTTCCATTCATACTGTGTCGTTATATTTCTTAATAAGTGCCTACTTCTATTTTTGGTCACTTCTTCTGCTCATGGTACTACTGAAGTGGATCTGCAGCAGCCAATGCCATGTCGCAGTATTTGCTGGCTTTGTTCCTATGTGCTTACATCTGCTGGAAGGGTCTACACAAAGCCACATGGGGAGGTCAGTTTTCTTGACCACAGCGTGATCTTTGAGTGAAGGTTTAAAAAGCTGGCCGTCTTTTAATGGTTTTGTTTTGTTTTTTTTCTTCAAACTTCTGCTGCAGGTTGGACGCTTGACTGTCTGCAAGAGTGGGGTCTCTTCATCAAGCTGGCTATTCCCAGTATGCTCATGATTTGCTTGTCCTGGTGGATATTTGAAATCGGAGGATTCCTGGCTGGTGTGATAAGTGAGGTTGAGCTGGGAGCTCAGTCCATAGCATACCAACTCTGCATTGTAGCTTATATGGTAACTTTTTTTCATTTTTCCTTTCCTGTTTTTGGAGAGACTATTTCATCCATCCATTTATTTTCTATTGTTTTCATGAAACAGTGAAATTAATAACCTTAATAACCCCATTAATAACCTTTTAAATTAATCTTAGCTATAAAAATGCTTTAAAATATCTTAATAATCCTTCATAAGAACATATATTTTAAAAAGATTATAACAAAAAATCTTTGTATAATCTATACTTGAGAAGGACTTTGATCCCTTTAAGCATGACCACCATAAAACTCTGTATTCCTGATGAATAAAGGACAATGAATGTGGGATTGTAAAATCAGTGACTGTTCACCTGCTGCATGGTTTGCTTCCAGTTTGTGCAGCACACTGCATATGCTCATCAATGCTCACCACTCCAAGGGAACATAGTTGGATTATATGCAATGCAGTGCTGCAGCCCAGGAAAACTACCAGCCTTATTGGCAGTTTCCTTCTGTTCTTCTAATGAAGTTGGCAGTAGTTGCTTTGGTTTCTTTGTGTGTTTCTTCATGTGTGTGTTTGTGTTGTCTTCATCCTAATGGCAGTTTTATTTGAGCTTGTGCAAGTTTACACTACAACAAATCAGACTGACTCTCTTGTTGTTTTCGTCTGTTTCTAATCTTTGTGCTAAGATAACGAGCTTCTAGCTCTACTTTTGAACTTATCATACCAATGTGGTAGTGGTGCCATGTCCCTCATAACTTTAAACTAACTTTAATGAGATCATTTATTTTCATGAAATTCAATACTTCACATTATCACTGTGTAAATACATATCTTTTCACAGAGCCCACTGGGATTCTCTGTTGCTGCCAGTGTGAGAGTTGGAAATGCTCTTGGTGCAGGAAATCCAAAGCAGGCCGTGCTATCGTGCAAAGTCTCTATCATCTGTGCATGTAAGAAATGAGTAATCTTAAAAAGAAATAATTGAAAGCAAACGGCTGGTTACATGTGTTATCAACACGCATGCAAACAGTCCCTGAAAACACAGGTCGTGTCTTCACCTTCTCTCTTTGAAATCTCTACATGTGAACTGTTCTCTCACGCTGTGCATTTTTACTTTGTTTGTGCACCACAGTGGCAGTTGCCTGTTTGGTTGGGGCTTTCATCATCTCTACCAAGAACGTCATTGGCTACATTTTCACCTCCGAGCAGTGAGTGCACTCACAGACACACACTCAGTTTTACTTTGTTGCAGACACGTGGATGTCTAGCTGAGTCTGTGATGTTACACAAGTCCATTCAGACTATTATACATTATCTGTGGTCATCGTCTTCATGTTGATGCACAACGGTGATCTGTGACTGTTTAATGTTTAGCAGGTAGGTCCCTTTAACAAATCCCTCAGTTTATAGTTAGTGTTCATCCTGTGAGGCACCCAGACCCAGACTTCAAATACAGTGAAACGTTTTGCCTCCTTCCTGATTTCCTATTCTTTTTGTATATTTGTCTCAGCTCATCAAACAAATTTAAGTGGTAGACAAAGATAACACAAACACAAAATGCAGTTTCTAAATGATGGTGTTTATTATTAAGGGGGAAAAATCCAAACCTACATGGCACTAAGTGGAAAAATTAATTGCCCTCTCCTGTTATAGCATAAATTAAGTGTGGTGTATCACATCTTTGGTTTAATTCCTCTAGCAACACCCAGGCCTGATTACTCTCACACCTACTCTCAATCAAGAGATCACTTAAATACGACCTGCCTGACAAAGTGGCAGATATCATGCCGCGATCTAAGGAAATTCAGGAACAAATGAGAAACAAAGCAACTGAGATCTCTGTCTGAAATAGGCTATAAAGCCATTTCTGAAGCTGTGGGACTCCAGAGAACCACAGTGTGAGCCATTATACATAAATGGCAAAAACATGGAACAGTGGTGAACCTTTCCAGGAGTGGCCGGCCAACCAAAATTATCCCAAGAGCCCAGCAAAAAGTGTGGTGGCACAAAACACTAAATCTTCCTAATGTGTGAAGCACGGTGGAGGTGCTATTATGCTTCGAGGCTTGTTCTCTCAGGGGCCAGAGGCCTATTAAACAATTCCAACTTAATTAAAAGCAGATTTATAGGAGAATGTGACAGGGGTGAAGCATGAGCTGAATATTGTAAAGATGATGGCAAGATGATGACTGAAAGCATATAGGGGTTTTTGAAAATCCAAGTCAGAGTGCTGATTTTAACCCAACTGAAGCCAATCCTGTGGCATTCCCTGAAAATGGCTGTTTAATTATAACAATTATTTATAAACTGGGAGAACTGACACAGTAGCCATCCTTGCGATTGTGCAAATCATACAAGTGGTTCAAGTAAATGTCTGTAACTAGTTTTGAGATTCTTGCTCCAAAGGGAGATTCAACAATTTACTAAATGAAAGAGATCAGTTGCTTTTATGAGCTTGCAGTGTGAGTGGTTACTCGGTATATTCAATAAACACTCGAGACTGTCTATTTTTGGTTTTTTCAAATTGCCTTTATCATTAAGTACCTGGGCTCAACCATGAACAACTGGACCTTAGACGAAGAGTGGACAATTTCAAGGAATCAAGGAAGGAAAACTAACACTTAATAATAAACTATATTGCCACTTTTTTATTATGTTTAATGTTATGGTCTTACTAAATAATTAAGTCAAGCAGCTGAAGCACGCTCAATAAACTCCACAGTGAGGAATAACAATGTCAGGTTCAGATGCAGTTTGACTGCTGCAGTTGAACTCGTTCCTTTTATTGGTTTGCTGACTAGAGATAGATGTTACATTGAAAGCATGAATATCAATTTAAAGTATGTTTCTAAAAACCCTTTTAAAGGTCTTATTTCTATATCTTTATAGAGACATCATTCAGAGGGTTGCTGATGTCATGCTTATATTTGGATTCATGCACATCTGTGATGCCATTGCGGTGAGAAATCATGCAGAATAACCATTCACAAAGCACGTGAGACATCCACATGACCAGTGTTTGATACTTGCAGGGCGTGGCTGCAGGTGTTCTTAGAGGTGTGGGGAAACAGCTGATTGGTGCTTTGTGTAATTTTGTTGCATTCTACTTCATTGGCTTCCCCATTGGCGTGTCCCTGATGTTCGCAGCAAACATGGGGATTGTAGGTAAAACCAAACTCTGTGTGTGTGTGTGTGTGTGTGTGTGTGTTACTTACTCTGTCTCAGAGGATTTGTTTAGCAGCTTTCAGGAACTTTTTTTTTTTTTTTTTGGATCGGTGACAGGACTTTGGACAGGACTTGTCATTTGCCTCTTACTTCAGATGATATTTTACGTCACTTTTTTGTGCAAACTTAATTGGAAAAAGGCTTCAGAAGATGTGAGTAGCTACATCAGTTGCTTTAAGTTTAAAGCTTTCTTATTTGAAGCTAAAATGTACAATCAGTGTCTTTGATGTGTGTGATCAGGCTCTTGTGAGAGCAGGGGTTCACATCACAAAGGAAAATGCAACAGCTGAGCTGGAACACTCAGGTAAGAACTGGTAATAAGAAACAGTCTTGCTTTGAGGCTCGCATGAACGTTTTGGGTTAATCTCAAGTTCTCTCTCTCTCTCTCTCTCTCTCTCTAACTGCCCCAAACCTCTAGATTCACATCAGAGTCAGGCCCAGGTCAGTGGAGCTGAGTCTGCGTGTTTGAGTGCTGAGGGAGGAAACACAGACCCAACTGTAGCCAGTTCAGGCAGTAGAGCCTTCACCACCACCACCACCACAGTGGGAGATGTTCTGTCTGTACCACAGTTGGCTGTATGGCGTGGTTTGGCATTAATAATCATGATCATCATCCTTCTTGCTGGAATAATCATCAGTCACTTTCTAATGAAGCTGTTAAAATGACGGATTTTTGAGTGTCATAGGGCTGCTCAACAGCTTGACCATACTGAGAATCTACTCCAGTCTTCAGCTCTGTGCAGCTTCCAGAAACTCTTTGATTTCCTGGTCTGCAGCCCTCTCATATTTTCTTTACTGCACACCAAAAGAGCGGATGCTAACGTCAGGCTAAATTCACATTCAAAATTTCTTGTATCAGGTATCAAAACCCAAAGACTGTATACAAATGATGGATGATGCTTTCAGGTCTGAAATGTACCTAAAGTGTCTTACGTGTGCATTCTCTATAACAGACAGCAGCAAGCAATTCTTCTGCTTGTTCTGCTTGCCCCAGTAAACATTTTCTCACCTGTGGCTCTGTCACAGGTGTTACATCTTATTAAATACAACATCATGTTCACTTAGGAAATTATGGTCCCATTAGCATCACAAAGGAAAAAGGCAGTTATGCACTTCACTGTATGAGTATACAGTCTCACTTGGTTTCTTAGTGAGTCACCACTCAGTCCTTCTGTCAGTTTTCAAAACACGAAGATTGCAAAGGCTAAAATGCTAAGCTCTGAGTAACTTGTTTACTATCCAACAAGGGGCATCCAGCATCCAATTTTAGTATGCAGTCTATGAGGAAATCTGCTTCAGGAAGGGGGGTGTGTGTGTGTGTGTGTGTGTGTGTGTGTGTGTGTGTGTGTGTGTGTGTGTGTGTGTGTGTGTGTTTTACTATTAAGGGTCCAAATGAGGACTTAATTGTAAGCAAATGGAAAATGTATATTTTCTGGGTGGAAACAAGGAACTTAAACGTCCACCAGTAACATTTTATGCCAGCATTTTTCACGAGAACAAACATTTCACTGCACAATGTCTTCTTATATCTTCCTTTTGCTTCAAAAGACCATACTATGGACTTTTTTTTTTTAAATAGATGTATCAGAGAGATCTTTATTTTCATGATCGGTTTAGGCTTTAAACGAATAGATGAAGGTCTGTTTAGTCAGTGTTGAGACTTTGCTGAACAAATACATTTTTGAGTCATCTGCCATTCTTTTCTATTTCTGTTGTTTTGATGTTTTTGAGTTCCTTCTGTTGGAAATCTGAAAATAAAGAGTTTACTGTTTAATAGTGAAGCATTAAACAATCACAAACTTGTAGTCATACTGGGCGGCTTTTAAGTGTGAGAGTGTATGAATAAATAACTCCTGAACAAAAAGAGGCTTTTCATGAAGCAAGCTTCAAAAAGTTGGCTTATGTAGGGAAATTCCACATTAACAGCAGCTCCATAAAACCCATTTAGAAATGACTGTAGGTCATCAGTCTCATCTCTGGGACAAACAGAGGTCTCATCAATTCACAATAAAGAAACCTGATCCTGTTGATCAGCAGCAATGAGCTCAGCCACCCGTGGAAATGACTTCTGTCCCACTCAACCCCCCTCTTGGTTCAGTCATTTTCGCCAGTTTCCAGATCATCTGTCATGAATGACCGTGTTCCCTTTCTGCATAATCACTGTTAAAAAGTAACTTGTTGCACAGACTGTCACGTAGTCAGGCCCAGACACATTCTGTATGATTTGCATTTTGAGCCCTGTTTCATAACTATGACCATTTGTTGGAAATGTCATTTAAACATATACCATGCAGTGAAAAATTTCCCCCTTCCTGAGATCTTTTTCTTTTAATTTTTGCATATGTAAAAGGTTTAGGACTATCAAACAAATTTTAATATTGACAGAGCTCATCCAAGTACAAACTACAGTTTTTAGAAGATCTTATTTATTAAGGTGAAAAACAACTTTCCAAATATACATGGTCCTATGTCAAAAAGCGACTTTCCCCCTTTGCTAAATCATGAATTAAGTGTGACTAACTGCATTTTTTTTTTTTTTTTTTTTTT